CGATTTTCGTCGTAGTAGCACTTTAAAAAATTAATTGAAATTGGTTTTCTTTCTACAGGACGTTTTGTTCAAGACACCTTCGTGTTCTTGTTTGTTGAGTTACCGAGACATTTTCACTTTAATCGTTGAATACGCCGTATATCTTTCGGTACAGAAGTTAAGGTCGTTAAGCAAATCACTGCCGTTTGGGTGTGGCTATTAATGGAGCTAGATTTGCAAAATCTACCGAAGGAAAAGTCAACTGGTAGTGGAAATAATTTCTCTGTGTGGTTTTGTTTATTGAAGTTTTCATTCAAAACATTGTTAACTCATCCACAGGGAAGACGGACTTTTAAGGAGCGAAACCCAAAAGTGAAGTCATTTAAACTTCCGGTTGACATCGCAATCGTACGCATTTATCGATGGTTTTCACGGCGGCCATGTTGGAGGAACTTAACAAAAGAATTGTCATTGAATTCTTTTGTTATATCCTCAACATGGCCGCCGTGTCTTTTGTTATTTAATTATCTTGGGAGTGGCTGAATACCATCAATTAACAATAATGTCAGTGTAACATATTTTTATCAGTGTTTGCTGCTTCGTAGACTAATCACTGACGTTGGAGTTTTATGGTTCACCTGCTACAGGCTCTCTTCGTTTCGTGGTGTGCCTGACACATACATACTGGATATAACAACGGCAAGAAAAATCCACACCGGCTCAAACCAGAAAACGTGTTGCGTAATATTGTTAAGGTGTTAAGGTGTGTTGTTAAGTGTTAAACGAGACACGATTCGTAATGAACGACGATGTTACTCTAAAAACTTCGTTGTCTTGTAACATGGAGTGCAGTTACAATCTTGATCGATATCTTGCTGCGGCAACATGTTGCAGGTTTTTGACTGTTAGTGTCATCATCTTGTTAACTTTCTTTATTGTGTTTTGCATATTCAAATGCCGCAGTATTATTTGAATAAAAACGTTTTCCTTTGTTTAACAGTGTCTTCTGCTGTTTTGTTGTTTTTTTTTACGAGTGACCGAGATTCAGAATCTTATGCTGAGTTTTATCTGGTAATCAGAAAAGACACAAGCCTCCCACAGTATCGGCGGGCTGAGTACTAGGCTGATCTGAGTATATCTGCACTGACAATGTTTTTCAATTTCATTTTGGTTTAAAATGTTTTTAAACACATTAAGTTTCGTTGTCACGTGTAGGAAACAATTATGTGAAGCGGAGTGTTGTCTCGGCGTCCCAAATGTTTAGATTACTGAGTATTATGGCACGCCAAGTGTAGCAATATTTCAATGGATATTCAATGTCAATTTAATGAAAATTCAATGAATATGCAATATCCAAAGCCTTTTCAGCAAAAGGCTAGCCTTGTTGGTGAGAAGGGTCCGAGTACGAGAATGAGTAGAATGACATATACATCGGCATGTAAAAACACATGCAAGAATTGGCAAGCTCCGTACAAAAATGACTGGTGCATTACGGTGCACTAAAAGACAAACCATCCAAGATACCTAGAGGTTGTCACTCGACTTTCTGCCTGACAGAGTTCGCTTGTCCACACCCATTGAGGCAAACGAAACAAAACAATCGGCCATTGACGCACGTAATATATCACACCGATTGCCCACTGATGCAAAAACTAATCATTACCTATTATGGTGACAAATGCCGATCTACCTATTGTACTTCACTTATCGTTCAGCTTTGATGAATGCTTTTAGTAACAATACTTTTACATTTAGAATATCAGAAAGCTACATCATGGCTTAATGAATAAAGACCACAGATTGTATTTATGTGTCCAAATGGCAGAACTGCTGCTGTTATGAAATTCGCTGATATCTCAGTAATATATACAATATGAGCGGGAGATCTGTATTTAGGATTTAATTAAAACAGCGAGCTGCAAAGGAGCTGTTGTTAACCTCACACAGATCTCACGCGAATATTGTATATTACTTTTTAAATGTCTAGATCAACCCGGCTTCTTTTTCAGAGTAAAAAATTTTAACATTAAATGTAATTTTCTAAGGTCATTAATTATTCATAACGTTTTTAATAATTAGAGGAATATTTATGCTCTCTTTCACTTGAATTGAATAGAGAAAAACAATAAATGTCACAAGAAAAAGATCAGAGGAAACTAATATTACATACCATAAAAATTTTTCGATATCATCAGTACACTCGCAACATTTCATTTGCATTATGCAAATACTCGTCTGATACGGTACAAGGTGCATTGCTTGGGCTTCCTGATCCTGTGACATTCACACATTTATGATCGATGTCCACTTATATGACATGACATGCTCTATAATGCATTCATTGGTTAAAGGTGGGGCAAGCAATGTTAATTATATTTCGCTCGCCGCTCGTTTGCCTGTTGGACGCTATAGTTGCTAGTAAAAGATAAACTGAAGGGCACCTCTAAGACATCCCTGATAACAGATTAAATTCTCTTGCCGAAGGAATCTAAGGGCTTACGATGGTTGGGGCATATGGCTTGACCTGTGTTTTTACCCTTTACATTCTGATAGCTGTATTGTTTATAGTAGGTAAGTGATACGTTCGGCTTCGTTGCTGATTGAAGTAAAAATATGTTTTTAAATCTTTAGATGAGCTGCAAATACACATTTTCTGGGTAAGATAATGGGGGAACTATGATTCTGGTAAATTATTTCACTTTGCTGTCGTCAGATCCACAAACAGGCCTGTTTATACGCGCGCACAATTTTGTTATCTACTTCAGCGAAGAGTCCCACTCGCTGCAGGTGGCTGGACTGGGATTCTGGCGTTTGCTGTTTTGAAGGAAAATCGCAAGGAGTAAACTGGGACTATGGAGAGAAAGACAGTAATCTTCTCTCGCATTTTTAAGGGACCGTTCGTTTCTTGTCGGGTAATAGGTTGTATTTGCGTGGTTACTGGTAACCCATAAATAGACCTGTCTAGGACTTTCTCTCTCTGTTGTTGAATTAAAGAAAATGTTTTTCAGACTTTTTATTGTAAAAGTGCTGTGCCCCTTGATCTAATTTATTTTTTTTAAAATACCAACCCCCCCCCACCCCCCTCAAATAGAAAATGACTGGAGGAGATGCATTCTCGTCCCCAATGCCTTCTCATCTTTTTAACGAAAAATTGAAGGCCCTGGTAACACAAATCAACTGTTAATTTGATTGGTTTTAATTTTTTGCATAATCATCTGTATCCAGTTCGCTGATTTTACTAGCCTGCAGAGCAGGCGTTCTTTTGATGGGTTTGAGAGGAAGAATACGGGTTTTAGGGTTCCTGTTTGACCTGTTTTGACCATTGGCCTGCAAGAAAAATGGGACCTAGCCCCTTCGCTTCTTTTTTGCTTGGTTTCAATATTCTGGCTCCTTCCAAAGTTTCCCCAAAACCCTAAATTTTTCCCAAACCCACAAGAACGCCTGCTTTGCTGGCTGTGATTTTACAGTCAATGGTAGAAATTTGTATACTTTACCAAACACATCTATGGTCTAGCTAAATTGCTTATTTTTCAGAATGTTAATCTCAGACAAATAAACTGTTCCATAAAGAATGTATAGATAAGCTTGATCGTTTTTCTTTTGAAGAAAAAAAAATGGTTTGAATTTATACCAGAAGTCAGAATATAATAAGCAGAGCATGTGCACATCTGATGACCTTGAATCTGGGTCTTCTGGTTTGTGTGTTACCAAAGCTTTGATATTTTGGTGAGAAGGGTCTGGGTACTAGACGCAGATGCGCACATGTCCAGTACTCAGACAGGATTCATTTCATTTTAGACTACAATACCCAGCTCAGATACTTTATCTTGGACATCATGTGGGGAAGCATTTATGTTTTTTGTAATCTGAACTTTCAGCTTTGATGAGTTATTAAATGTTTTTCTGTTATTTAAGATGATGGAGCAGAAGGCCTTACTCTTCGAGTCCCACATGGTAAATTAGAAGCGCTACTTGGAAGAAAGTGTCTGAATTTACTTTTTCGGGAACCATGTGTAGATAACCAACACTGTAACATCTCACTTGAAGTCAAACTGGAAAGTAAAACTGGCCAAATGACCTCGAGCACTTCAAAATCTATAGAAAGCAGCCAAATTATGAAGATTAATAGTACCTCCATGTACTTACTGTGTATGTTTGACTCCTCTGCTGGGGAAAATGTTTCTTGTTGCAATGATATCAGTCATAGTCCAGGCATAAACATCACAAATGGTGTTGAAGTGGGTTTATCTCATTACCAGGAGATAAGCTTTGATCTTAAAGCTTGCAATGAGAGCTGTTTAACACTGTTGAAATTTTTCAACGCCTTTCTACCTTGTAAGTTTTGCAGTCAAATAAAAAATATTTTTCAATATGCCAATTCATGCACTTGCAAGTAATAATATTTAAAGAATGTGTTTCATCAAGCAAATTTTTCTCGAAAATAAATTCTGAGCTCCAGTTGGAATTCGAACCTGTGATCTCTGTTTACTAGTCAGGTCAGACCTCTAACCTGCAGGTATGAATCCCAGCTAGATCCAACTCAGAATTTTTTCCCAAGAAAAATTTGCTCATTGAAACACAATTCACATCTTTGATAATTTCCAAGCAACAAAAACACCTTATATGTAAGAGTTAATTACAGAGAATGGAGGCAATAAGCCATATGCATCCTGAGGGCCACAGGCCTCAGGGATGTATAGGCTTATTGCCGAAGCTCGAGGCAATTAAGTATTTTATTTATCAATTGAGAAGGTTTTCTATCAAATGTTGCTCATTATAAATGTGAGCAGTCTATATATAGTTATTAACAGGGTTAATAACTATATATTGACCTCGCATTTATAATGAGGGTTATAACAAAAATAARGCCTTGTGAATAACAAAGAAAACCATGACAATTGAGAAATAATCCATTATAGAGTGCATGCCGTAAATCCATGAAATAAAAACAAAGTTGATACTGACAAATAGTAGCTATTTCTGTATAATAGTTACTATACCTTGAACAGAACAGTACCTTTCTATCATTGTTCACCATCCCTGCAGTTCCATGTTTGATTTAGCAAAACCAAACACTTTTTAAATAGAAATACTATAGCATTTACATCAATTATTAATTCAATCCCTATATTTATTACATACACATTTGGACATACACTCATCAGTCTCAACAAAAACAAAAAACATATTATAATGATCTTTTAGAATTTAATAACTCCATATGATTGTTTTGCATAATATGTGTCAACTCATGATGCCTATTACCATTAATATTGAAAGTGATTTGTAATTTATGGCTTGATTTTTGGATTATTAGTTTATTAGTCTTTTGCAAGACTTAATTAACGCCCCATCCTTGAATGCAAATGAAGTCAGTCACGAATTTGTATAGCAATTACAGCTGTACATTGAAAAAGAACCAAGATTAACGCAATAATAATAATATACTCTCTCTAATGATATATGTTTTTCTTTATTTCCAGGGCACGATCCATGCTACTTTGGAAAACCATGCCAAAATTTGGGAACTTGCCAACCAGCTTTCAACAGCTATACTTGCTTATGTCGAGGCAACTGGAATGGCACCAACTGTACTAGTAAGGAATCCTTATTTGGCATAAGCCTTAACCTAGCTTGTTTCAGTCTTTATCAGTATGTTAAACCTTATAGGCATCCTGATACATTTTATAAATGTAATTTCTGGATTGTAAATAAATAAATTTCCATAGCATTTCCTTCTTTGGAAAACCATGCCAGAAGCAAGGGTACTTACCATTTAAACCAATCCATCCAGTTCAATGGAAATTCATTTTTTGTATAGAACTGTCTTAACCCAGGTGGATGAATGTTAATGACTATGACTATGACTACCATGACTATTAAGGTCTATTACTTTGTGGCCGCATTTCATATATTTCACATACTTTTGAACTTTTATGCACAGGCTTTTTTGCTGCCAAATGAGGTAAGCTTTTGCACACCTCGATCATTCCTTTACACCAGCCAGCTTTACATCAAAATATGTTATTTTAACGTACAGAACTATGTGCATAAAAATAGGCAAATACATCATTAGCAGTCATACTAATTAGCATGTCATGCTGTAACCATCATTTACTATTTCTTAGTTCCAAAAGACATGACATACAATGCTGGCCAGTGCTTGAATTATTTATCCAGTGCAGATGTCAAACTGTACATGAAGACAGTGGAAGAATGCAGAAGTGCTTGTTTAAACCAGTTTTCTCCAAGGTGAGAATTAGCCATTCGAAGGTTGAGAAAAGACTGGGGAGAGTAAACATTGCAATGCATTGTGGGACTATTTTAGGGGGACACATTTATGAGATGGCAGGTATTTTGTCTACTTAAACAGTCTCATAATATACTGTAATGCCAACTCCACTCAGTCTTTACATCAACCTCAAAATGCTATGCTAATGAATTATTAAAAAATAAACAGATGTTTTATGCCAGTGTTAAATTAAATCTAGATAAATATGACTGAAAGATGAAATGTTTCTTTTAGTCTGCTATTTAATAAGTCTCTAAATAAACCTGATCTTGCTAAAGGTTTCCAAGAAAAAGGATCAGAAATATCCCAAAAATCCACTACCTGAGGTTTCTATCTTAAAGTTTTTTCTCTATGAAAAGAAAATTTGAAACGACACCCTTAACTCCCCCCCCCCCCCCCCCCCCCCC